CGAATCGTACGGTGTCGAATAATTTGGTGTCGAATAAATCTGTGTCGAATCGAGCGGTGTCGAATCGTACTGTGGTCAAACGGAACACGCCCCTGTGTATCGGTTTTTTCACAGAGCATTGGGCCTTCAAGGCACATCTATTCAACTTAGGCCTAGTTGAGGAGAGTAGTTGTAAATTCTGCGGCAAAGAAAGGGAGGACAGCGTGCACATATTGTGTCGCTGCCCATCTCTAGCACTCAAAAGATTCAGATCCTTGGGCTCCATGTTTGTGGAGCCCGAGGACCTGAAAATAATTAAAATCGGCCATCTATGTAGCCTGGAAGCAAATGCCGGGTTTTAGTAGCTTGGTCGATAAAGAACTAGCGGAAGTCGCAGAAGATCTTATAGATTTAGGTGACAATAGAATCTCACAAGCCCCCCGCTCCTTGTTATCTATCTATCTATGGTGGAAGGACAAAGGCACTCGCCGGAGATGAAGCGAGTGATCATGAACACGATAAATACACAAGCCCTAAACAATTATCAAACGGGCCTTTGCAGTGATATTCGAGTGCTAGTGCGCTCGCAGAGATATACGACACTGCAGGAAGCGGTGACGGGGGCTAGCGCGGAGGAAAAAACGACAGGGCCGAGTAATAAAAATTCGCGATATAATCCCAATCAAAAACCGCGGGAAAATAATAAAAACAGTAATTGCTACAAGTGCGAAAAAGCGAGACATTACGGGAGGGAATGTCGTTCAAGCAGGGGCAATTTACCGAAGCCAGAAGGGCGATGAATAAATGCAACCAAAAACCATTGCAATTATTGCAAAAAATCAGGACACAAAAGAGATGAATGTTGGTTACTTAACGGAAAAAATAAGAACGAACCAACAAAAGGAGAAAACGACAAAAGGTTGATCAAATATGACAAAAGGAAAGTGAATACATGCAAGAATCGTGACTCGTCGAGGAGCGATGACGAGTACGAGCACGAAAGGAAAAACAAGGCCATAAAAGCAGCAGAGCTTTACGTGACAGCGGTAGACACAAACCATGCAAGTTTAGACTTAATAAGCGTACCAATAGCAGAGACAAAAAGGGGCACGGCCGAATTACTGTACGATACAGGAGTTACTATATCCTTGATAAAAGTGAAATATTAAAAAAAAAATTGAATTATTTTCCAATGAATAGATTTATAATTGTCATTTGAAACAGTGTGTCAAAAACTCGCGGAGGTCTAACAGCAAGAGAGGCTAGGGAAAACGCCATTCTTGCCTTTAGATCCCCGCGCCAATTCTGCAAATTTTTGACATGTAACTAACATATATATTACATATACTCGCATGTTAGTTGTAATTTCCCATTTATAAATATAACATATGTAATATAATATGTTATGTACATTACATAGTTATATTCCATATAGTGACTTGTCGGTATTCTACAAAATATGTAATGTACATAACATATTTTTTAATTACATCAAAAACCTTAGCTTAGAGATGTTACGATATATAACAAGTTACTGCGCTATCTACAATATAACTATCATACAACCATAATGTAACACATGATTTACAAATGTTACACCGATGAACAATACAACTAACGTGTATGTACATGTAATGTACAAGTTAATTATATATACATATATATTTATA